GGAGGGCGATGGCGGAATGCTGTGCTCCTTTGGGAGTCTCCTCAGAAGCAAAATTCGGCCAAACGTATCACGCAATACAATTTAATGATGTTTCTACATTCGCGCCTTCGGTTTTAGGGGTGAGCAGTGAGGTGTTCGAGCCGTATTGGGGGCCTCTTCGGTCGTGCTGGCACTTTCCTGGAAGCCATCTAGGCCCTCTCGGGGGCGTCTTGGGCAGTCTGCGGAGCGCCCTGGGGCCTCCAGGGTTGTGGGCAACGGCCAGAGGCGACCCCGAACACCAGACACATCATAATCGGGGGCAGTTCAGGCTGTAGAGGAGAACTGAAGTGCACCTCAAATGCAAACTCCGTTTTTCGCCAGCGCTTCGGATGGCATTTTGCAGAGAATTCATTCGTCTACTCCGGACGGGGGGCGTTGACGTAATGTTCGCCCCCGCCGGCCCTCGAGTTCGCAATCAAATCTAGCTACTTCGTTCAAGAAGGTGGTTCAAGAATAGTGGTTTCTTTTAAGAAGCTGGTTTAAGAAGGTACTTCGTTTTAGTTTCGAACCCAACGCTTCGTTTTAGTTTCGTTTTAGTTTCGAACCCAACGCTGAGTGCGAGTCCAATTCACATGCGATAGCAGCGACGGGGGGCCAAGGCCCCAGGAGCTCAGGATCTGGGACTGCGGGTGCCCAGGGGGGTCCTTAAACGCCAGAGGGTCCTAGAGAGGCTCGCGGGTGCTGCCCGTTTGCGAGATGATCGGGCCTTCTGGGTGACGCCGAAGGTCCTGGGGCGACGGCGCCGGCGGATTTGCGTTGGGGCGGCGGCCCCCGCGTCTGTATTCCAGATTCGCCCTTTCTGAAATTCACATTGGGCTTTTGCGAATTCCAGCTTGCCCCTCCCAGGGACGACGCCGAGGCGTTTTGGTTGAGTCTTCCACGCCAAAATATTCAGATTGGCCCTCTTCTGATATTCAGGTTGGCCCTTTCTGAAATTCAGGTTGGGGGGCCGCCGCCTCGGCGTTGAGTTCGGCTTTGCCACCTCCCCGGGGAGGTCGGGCCCGAGTTCGCGAGTGCCCAGGAGCTGCGCCGGGGCCGAATGCAGTCGCCCACGGCGCCCGCGGCGGCGCGCTGTCGCGGGGGGCATTGCATGGTTATCTTCGCATGCAGACAGGGGCCTCGGTGATCTGAAAAGTAAAGTGCGCCCTTGCCAGTCACCGAGAGGATTTCGGGTGACCTTCGCGCGCGGGCGACGCGCGTCACCCGCGGCGCGCGCGCGCGCCTGCGCGGAGGGGTTTGCCCTGTGAAGTGGTTGACGTCGCCGCGTTGGGTTGGGCAGTCGAAGTTTCATTCGACGCGGCGAAACTACGCTCGGAACTTGACGTGAGGTTTTCGCACGCTTGTCACACGCGCCCAACGCGCGAGACCGTCGCGCGCGCATTGCCGCGCGCGCGGCGGGGCGCCTGCATGGAAGGGCGTGCGCTGAGGGCTCTGCATTCACGCGTGCAGAAGGTCGCCATGCTGCTCTGGGAACTCAGGTGATCCCTAAGTGAATTCCAAACAGATTTCGGGTGACACGCATGCGCGCGCGGGCGACGCGCGTCACCCGCGGCGCGCGCGCGGGGCTGCGCGGCGCGTTCTGCACTGTGAATGCGCGCGTCTCGCCGCGCTGGCGCGGCGCATGCGATTTTCCATTAGCGCGCGACCACTAACTTTCAAGTCGGATATCGAATTGCGTTGCATGCCCGCCCCGCGGACCCATCGTGCGAAACCGTCGCGCGCGCGCCGCCGCGCGCGCGGCGGCGCGCCTTCGCGGGGGAGCTGCGCGGGAACGTCATTCCCGCGTCAAGGAAGTCGCTATCGTCCCGAGGGAACTTAGGTGATCCCACGTCGGTCGCCGATCGGATGTCGAGTGACCCGCGCGCGCGCAGGCGGCTTGCGTCAACCGCGGCGCGCGCGCGCGCGTTGGCGCGGCGGGTTGTTCGCCGCGACGACGCCGAAGTCGCCATCTTGGCCAGGGGCGCCGACGTTCAGTCCAGCGCGTCATTTGTGCATTAGCTTCCTGTCCTGGCATGTTCGCTCTATCCGCGCTCATCGCGCAAGACTGGCGCGCGCGCGCCGCCGCGCGCGCGGCGGCGCCGAGCGTCCCTTTACCGTCAAGGAATTGAAGCGCGAAGCCTGAACCCTTGGATATCCGCGGGTTTGGTAGCCATGGGTGCGATTTCCGGGCGAGAGGTATTGGTCACCTTCCCCGTCAGGGGCCGCAGGACAGCAGAGTGGAGTTGGGGCGCACCTCTAAATTATCTTCGGCGCAGGGCCGCAGGGATTTCTCTACGAGGCCGCCGCGGCGGACTATGTCTCGCGCACAGCGCAACGCGCAGAGGGCAGGGGCAGGCTTTCTTGGCATGGGGGGGCGCGAGAGGGGGAGGTTGAGGAGGGGGGGGTTGCCCTTCCTCCCGCTTCTCCAAATGGCCCCCTTCGCACTGGCCCCCGCCTTCTGCCCGCGCTGCAATTTTTGCCCGCGCCCGTCCGGCGGTTTGCGAAGAACGCCGCGCTCGATGGCGCGTTCGGCGCGCGCTCCAGAACGCGGTGGCCGGGCGAGCGAGCGCCGTTTCCGCTCAAGTTCGCCGTTGCGCGGGTGCGCGGCGAGCGATTCGCCCGCAGTTCGTCATCCACGGCGCAAAGATGAACGGCGTGGTTTCGAGAGCTGATGCTTCCAACTCTCGCGCTCGGGCGGCACCGACGCGATGCCGCGAACGAGAACGCGATTGGGGGCCGATGTTTCCACGCTTGGTGGTGTCATGATATCATGGCGTCATTATCGTTGCCCCAAAGATCGGCAAGCCCAATCCACCGGTGATATGTGACCACGGCCGCCGGTGGTTTTTTTTTTTTTTTTTTTTGGGGGGGGGGTCGGGGCTTTCAGTCGGTGGATCCAACGCAGAACATTCGATCCCATATGCGGATCAGAACACATGTTGTGCGCCATCGCCTTCAATTGCGAGTGGGCCGTGGAAGCAGGTCAAGCCGACGTTGTCGCATGAGGAATCGAGAGCAACAACTTGGCGACTCGAATGGTATTGATGGCGCAGTATACACCACACGTATTTTGTCCTACGTTATCACGTTCTGCGTTGAGGCCCTTGGCCCCAGCTCCAGAGCCACCCACTCGAAGGTTCAGGCGGGGGTCTGGATGTGCATATTCGGCGTTGCGGACGACGTGGTGGGGACTCGCAGGCCATCGCCGCCAGCCGGGTTTTATGGACGCAGTCGTGGATGCGGATATTTGTTGGGGGGGGGGCCTCTTTCGTTTCTGTCCGTATCCACTGCTGGCTGCTTGGGTGGGGTCGCCTGTGAGAGCTCCCGCCCTGGCCCGGCGTTCTCGGGCGGCCCCCCAGGTCCGCGGCGTCGCGGGCGCATGGCAGATGTCGCCACAGCACACCGAAAAAGGCAACAAGATACCGCTCGAAGGCTCGGCCGAGATCGCCAAGCTCGGCGACTCTGAACGTCGGCGGTCGCGGTGCACGCAGACATGCCAGCCCGTTGCGGGGGACCTCCGCCTGGAATGTGGACGGTGGGACTCTTTCTCGGCCACGTTCTGCTGGTCTTGGGGCCGAACAGTCCCACTCCTTTCGCACATTCATGCCACGGTGGCAATCGGCCCTGCTGCTCGGGGAGTTGTCGGGGGAACTCCCCATCAGCACCAGATATGTTGACATATTGTTGCTGCGCCCAAGGCGACGACAATCTCAGGGATGTGACCTCGGAAAGTCAGGGAGCCCTTAAGATCGGCACCGAGGCTAGGTGATGCCAAACACACGGGTAGGGCATGCTCGTATGGAGCGGGAGGCGGGGAGCGGGGAGGGAGGAGGGCGACTGGGGCCCGGGGGGGGGCCCAACAACCCCCGGAGGGGTGCCTCGGTGTCTGGCGGTGCACCAGGGCCCCGGGGGAACTGCATTCCGCCCCTTCCCTTGGATGAGCAGGTCTCCTGACGAGCAACCCAGCCTTCCCGGCCGGGGGCCCCTCGCCCGCTGGGAGTCTTGTCCGGGGGACCGGCTCTGCCGTGCCTCTCTTCTTGCCATCCCTGGTTGCGCAGGTCTCCTGTGGGCCCCCCTCAGCCTCCCCGGCTGGGGCCTCCCCCTCTGGGAGTCGTGACCGGGGAGGGTTCTCCACCCACCTCCAAGGTGTGAGCGGGCCCGCGCGGTGGCGGCCCGCGGTGTTGTTTGGGGCGCTTCAGGCATTGACTGGCGTTCCCACAGAGCGAAGCGAAGCGAAGGGGGGCCCAACGAGGCCCGAGGGGCACCTGCAGGGGGGGCCCGAGTGTGGTCCCAGGGAGGGCCCCAGGAGTGTCCGATTGGGGGGCATGGAGGGGCCCGAGGTGGGTCCGAGAGCGGGCCCGAAGGGGGGTCCGAGAGGGGTTAATACATAGTGGCTTGCCATCGTAAATGCCTTCATCGTTTGCCTGATTACTCCAGAATTCGCAATAAAAGGGAGGGGGTCTGGACCCTCCAAGACAAGCCATTTCAGACCCCCCCTCGTGGGAGAACCCTCCAAAACATCGTCCCCAGACCACCCCAGGCCCTCCAAGATAGCTTGGAAAAGACCCCCCCCGAAATGAGACCCCCCCTCCCTTTATTACGAAATCTGGAGTAGCCTAATTAGCTCATGGTGGCTCAAGGGGCCGTTTCGGTTCCGATTCGACCCCGGTCCGGCTCAACCAACAAAAAAGCCCCGATGCGGTTCCGATCCCGCGTCCCTTTTCCGACATTCCGAGCCGAGCCGATGCGGCGATCGCCGACGTGGGCCCCACCTTCGAAGGATCCGACCGGATGTCGATGCCGATCTGGCTTCCCTATCCGGCCCCTTCTGCTTCTCCCCGCGTTGGCCTCGCCTGTTCGTGATTGGTCCCGTGCCTTGCTCGGTTTGGCCGAACGGCCCCCCCGGGGGTCGAGCGGACCGCGCGGCGTCGGAAGTCCCTGGGCCCACCGCGCGCCCCGGCCCCCCCGCCACCGGCGCGCAGGAGCTCGTCGACGACGCCGACAAGTTGCAGATGGTGGAGGCCAGCCCTCCGCGTCGTCGTCGTCGCCGCCGCCGCCGTCGTCGTCGTCGTCGTCGTCGTCGCCGCCGCCGTCGTCATCATCGTCGTCGTCGTCGCGGTCGTCGTCGTCGTTTTCGTCGTCGTTTTCGTCGTCGTTGCTGCCGCCGCCGTCGCCGCCGCCGCCGTCGTCGTCGTCGTCGTCGTCGTCGTCGTCGTCGTCGTCGCGGTCGTTGTCGTCGTCGTCGTCGTAGTCGCCGTCGTCGTCGTCATCGTCGTCTTCGTCGTCGTCTCCGTCGTCGTCGCAGTTAGTCGTCGTTTTTGTCATCGTCGTCGGTCGTCGGTTGTTGGCCGTCGTCGTCGTCGTCGGTCATCGGTCGTCGCCTTCGTCGGTCGTCGGTGCTCCGTCGCCGGTGACAGAAGCGCCAAACGCCGTCCGGCGCGTAGGCACAGGCACCGCGTGCAAAGGCATCACGGATGCAGCATCGTACAAGACAGAAGCCAAGGCTGAAGTTTCGATTCAAGTTTTTTCGAGGCAGCATCGAAAGCGAAATTGTAGGCGCTTCGCGTAACCCCACCAATGCCCCGGACCCCCTTTTGCCGCCTGCCCTCTGCTCCGCGGCCGCGACAAAAAAAAGTAACCCCACCAGCACACGACGCCGCGCGGGTGTCCGCTTGCGGTCGGGATACAAAAAAGTAGCCCCACCAGCCCATCCAGAAACGATGCCCAGACGAGTTGCCCTGATCAGGGATGTGGACAGGGTGGTGGGGAAGGCGGTATTCGAGGTGCGCCCTTCTCCTCGAAGGACGGCCAGGGCGACGCCAGCACGGCCCTAATCGGGCGCCACCACGGGAGGCGGCAGCAAAACAGTGCACCCAGTTTGGGCTTTTTGGTGGCCCTCTTGTTGGGTGGCACATGCACTGTTGCCGTGGAGGGTGCCTTGGGCCCGTCCTCCCAAGCCTGTTGTCTGTTCAGGGTCGCCGCTACCAGCGAACAGGAAATGCGGAAAGGAGGGGGGAGAGGGGCAGGAAAAATCGGAGGAGCTATAGGGAACCAGAAAAAGAAGGATTGATGTGGAGTGGAGAGGAGGAGAACAAAAAAGGATAATCATATACGACAGCGAGTCCGTTTTCCACCGAAGAATCGCGCCAGCTGGCCTGTGTCCAAAAGCGCGTTGGCGTCCATATGAAAGCGAACACGTGATGGAAAGGAGGAAAGGCAAGGGAGGGACGGACACGGGGGGAGCGGAAAAATAGGCGGGGCAAAATTGAGGCAAGAAGAAGAGGAGGAGGGCTGGGAGGGGGAGAGAGGTTTGCAAAGGACGGGATGGGATGGGTGCAGGAGGACGATCACCCAGATATTCGATGTATCGATTTGTTCGATGCGGGTCCCCCGAAGCCCCGTGGGCCAGCTCTTTGTCTTGAGTGGTTGTTGACGGCCTGGCGCCCGCTGATGGGGCCCCCACGGAGGCCGAGGTCCACAAAACGCCTCGGCCGTGGTCTGTCCAAGACGTTGAGTATCGCGGGAGGCCGCCGCTGCCGCCGCTGACGACGACGACGACGACGACGACGACGACGACAACGACGGCGGCGACGACGACGACAACCACGACGACGACGGCGACGACGACGGCGGCGGCGGCGGCGGCGGACGACGAGGTGACGGCGACGGTGGCGGCTGCGGCGGCGGACGACGAGGACGACGGCGACGGTGGCGGAGGCGGCAACGACGATTGCCGCTTCCTCTGGAGTGAGCCGCTGCCGGTCGGCTGGGCCAGGCGGTTCGTGGGACCAGCCAGCCACGCCGACGAGATTTGCCAGTCTCAACACAGTGCGGTGATTACACCGCCGGGCTCAGGGGTTGGATTCGAGGAAGGAGGCCTAGGGCCTAGATTGAAGACGGATCGCCGGAGAGCCGGCGCACCAGCGCGCGCGGGCGGACGCCCCGGGGGCCGCCGCTCTCCACCCCTTCCTGTTCTCAGGTGCGCCTTGTGTTCCACCTGCATCGCCTTCTCCACGAAAAGCCCCTCGATCGCTCGTTCGGTCGCCAGGGCCGCTCGGCAACCCGTTGACCTCCCTTCTGGAGGCATTATTGCCAAGCATCGCCGTAGATCGGCTAGGCATGTGATCGTTTTCTAAAACATTGTTTTGCTGATCGGCGCGGGCCCTCGCACCCCCTTCACACCCCCCATGGAGTAGATCTTGGTTGTTTTGGGCGCTTGTCTGAAGCAGGTGGAGTCTCCCCCAGAGGACGCAATGTTGCAAACAGTCGCGTCAAGCAGAGGCTGGAGCCAGACCCCCCCCCTCCCCCTCCCGTTCCGCCCAATGTCGAAACGCCGAATAAGCAAACGTTTACCAAGGATTTGGGACTTTCTCGATGGCGCTCCTCGGTGCCCTCCTGGAGGGCCGCGTCAGCGCGCAGGGGTCCACTCGACGTCGCCGCCGCAGCCTCCGCCCTTGCGCTCGCCCTCGCCGTCGCACTGTATACCTTGGATTGGCTGGGCATCGCTCGGATGTGTGTATCTTTCCTCGGCGAGGACGATTCAGAAGCATCGTAGATCATCTCGCAATGCACAGGGAATGGACGTCCGAGCGATGGCGAGAGCATGGGGGAACTGAGTCCTGAGGGAAGCGTGTCCTGGTCCCTGGGGCCTTCCCCCAGGACGAGATCTTCGTCCTCAGTCCTTGTCTGACTGTCCCGGGGCCCGTGGAGGGTCCCACGAGCCCGACAATTGTGAAACACCTCGGGGCCCGTCGCCCTCAGGACCCGTGCCCCCCATGGCGACGCCCCGCCTGCGGCGAAGGTCGCCGCGGTGGCGAACGCCTACGCGCGCTTCAGCTGCCTCAGCGAGCCCCTCGTGGAGGCGCTGTCGGCCCGGGCTACGGAGCTCATGCAGGCGCCGGCCCCCGTTGGGGAGCCCAGACGCTAGATCCCAGATGCCTACCACCTCTTCTCCCTCCTCCCTTCCTCCTGCTCCTCCTCCTCCTCCACCTCCTTCCTCCTCCTCCTCTCCTCCTCCTCCTCCTCCTCCTCCTCCTCCTCATCCTCCTCATCCTTCCCCTCCTCCTCCACCTCCTTCGTTCGACTCCCTCCTCATCATCCCTCTTCCCCCCCCCTCCCTGTCTCCTCTCTCCTCCTCCTCCCCTTCTTTTCCTCCTCCTCCTCTTCCTCCTCCTCCTCCTCCTCCTCCTCCTCCTCCTCCTCATCCTCCTCATCCTCCTCGTCCTCGCAGTTTCTGTCTGGGCGTTGTTCCTCGGTCTCGGTCTTGGGGCCCGCCATCGAGCCCCAGGGTCATCAAAAGCGGATCCAGTGCGAAGCACTACCCCTAGGGTACTCCAGATTTCGTAATAAAGGGAGGGGGGTCTCATTTCGAGGGGGGTCTCTTCCAGGCTATCTTGGAAGGCCTGGGGGGGTCTGGGGACGATGTTTTGGAGGGTTCTCCCACGGGGGGGGTCTAAAACTTTTCGTCTGGGAGGGTTGTGACCCCCTCCCTTTTATTACGACATCTGGAGAAACGGTCGGCGCCTCAGGGGCCGCGCATGAAGAAACACATCGTCGGATGACTGGTGCCCCTCGTGCACCCAGGCGCGTGTGGGGCCGCAAGGGGCGTCGTTCCTTATCTAGTTCTGCTTATGGTGCGTAGTAACCGTCACTCCCTGACAATAACCCCCTGGAGATAATAAAGATCAGGGGTCCAGGCTTGATTAGAAACGTTTCCCCGGATATTTCAGCATAGTGATGCAGATGGTGACGATGATGATGATCAATATGACCCTGAACGTTCATAAGGTTCTTTGGAAACACCATAGGAGCCCTTAGGACATCCATGGGGGGTCTTACAGAAATCCTTCGGACACCGTAGGATGTCCAGAGGATCCCGGAGAAAACCCATCGGATTCCTTAGGACACCCATAGAAATCTGATGGAAACCCATCGGATGCCTTTGGATACCCATGGGAATCCCAAGGACGTCAGTAAGGATCTCCAGGGACTTTCTAGGACACCCATAGGAATCCGAAAACATGATATGGGCTGTCTTGGAAGTTCCATCGGATGCCTCAGGCATTCCATCGGAATCGCATGGACATCCGTCGGATTCCTTTGGTATCCATCGGCTGCCTCAGGACATTCGTGAGATTCCTTTGGAAGGTCAAAGCGTTCTTTAGGGCATCCATAAAAATCACATGAGAACCAATCGGATTCTTCAAGATGTCCAAAACATCCTGAGGGCGTCGATAGGATTCATTCAGAACTTCAAACATGTATTCGGGCAGGCAGCCATATGATTTCTTAGGAAGTCCAGAGGTTTCCCACGGAAATCTACAAGTTTGCTTCGGATATCCATAAGACTCCTGTTGACATGCATAGCATACTTTCGGCAATCGATAAGAATCCGTTGGACATATGTTAGGTTCCTTAGACATCCGTAGGCTTCCGGCGGAAATTCATCGAATTCCACTGAACATCCATAGGCGTCTTTAGGACATCTAGAATAGAAGAAACCGATGGAATCCAAATCAGTCCTGCGGGTAGCCATGGGGATACATCGAAATTGGGCTTGGATTTCACTGGCACTCGACTGTGATTCTTGAAGATTATGCAGATGATGATTTTGAATCGGAAGAAGATGGTGTTTCCTCGCTCATACGGCTCTTGGCGCTAAGCGAGAGTTTGTTTTCTAGGGCGCGCTTGAGAGCTGGAGGTGTTTGGCGGTTCTGGCCAAGAAACCTCTCCTGCGCATGACCTCAATCCATTCGCCCATGCAGGCTCGGCATCCTTTTGGACCCGTCCTTATACGGGAGGCACTTCGCTGGCGCTGACGCTGTCGGGTCACTTGGCGGCTTCGCCTTGCCCTTGCTCCTGGCCTTGTCCTTGGCCTTGGCCGTGGCGGAGTGGTTGTCGCTCGCGCAGTGCAGCTTCTGGATCCATGTGTTGCCTCGAGCGCGCGCATGGGTGACGCCGATCGGCGGCCAACGGCCCTCGCCCCGGGCCTCGCGCAAGGCGCGCTCGACCCGCCCCGTCGCCCCGCTTGCAACGTGTCGTTGCTGCTCGCAGGGGGTTCCTCGGCAGGACGGATGGCGCCGTGCTTTCGGAGGATCCTCGCGGCGGCCTGCTCGGCGTTCTCGGACGGCTGCTTGAGGGCGTCGCGGTCATCGACGGCCGCGCCCGCCCCCCTGCCTATGACACCTTGAGGTAGGTGTAGTGCACGGGGGCTTCGGAGTGCACCGCGATCAACAGGTGCCCGGCCTTCCCGGTTCATGTCGGCCCAGCACTTATGTTTCTCGGGTTGTTGGGCGGCGGGCCCGTCCTCGCCCTGGCCCTCTCGAGCCCAGGCGACGGCCGCCGTGGAATCGATCGCCGGAACGTTCTCGGGGGCGCCCGCGCGCTCCTCGATCTCGCCGAGCAGCGCGCTCGCCGTTCCCAGCTCGAGGTCGTCGCCCCTCTTGATCAGCTCGCAGTTCATGGCCGCGCACTGGTTTGCGAGCTCCATGCGCCGAGGTGCCCCGCTAGAGGGCTCCTAAATGGGACCCCAGGCAGACGCGGTCGGAAGATCGCGCAGCATCGCCGATGCGTCGGCGATGCAGCGGCCCCGCATCGGCGTTGCATCGGCGACGTCGGCGACGCATCGGCGACGTCAGCGTTGAAAAAGACTGACTCCACGTCGAGCCGCTTCGGCGATGCGTCGGCCGCGCGGTGCGATCGTCCGACCCGATCTACTCGGATCCCAACGCGGGGGCCTGGACCTGCAGATGCGCTTGTCTAGTTTGGCCGGCTTGGGAAACTTGTAACCCTGGTCGACCGTGACTTGTGAGGCTTGAGGAGTCCATCGCGATATTTGGGATCCTTTGGGGAATCCATTGGGGTCCTAGGGGGGGCCCATGGGGCTCCGATCCATGAGATTCCTATCAAATCCATGGGGTTCGTTTTGGGAAATCCTTAGGAACCCAGAAGCATTCCATTGCATGTTTTCAGAAACCCGTCCGATTCTTCAAGGCAGTACACAAGATGCCTTAGGACATCCATTGGAGTCGGTTGGGGATCCATGGGGTTCGTGGGGAGTCAACCGGATTCCTGGGACATCCATAGGATGCCGTCAGAAATGCAAAGGATTCCCCAGGAAGCCGATAGCGGTCCTTAGGACATGCGTAGGGGTCCTTCGGAAATCCATAGGATCTCCGAACAAATCCATAGGTTCTTGGAGAAACCAAGTGTTTCCTGAGGACATCAATCGGATTGCCTCGGGAACCTGTCGGATTCTCCAGGGAACCAATCGGAAGCCTCATGACCTTTATGGGAGATCTTAGGACGTTCATCGGAGTCCGAACGACATGCATAAATCCCGCGGGAAGCGCATGCGATTCTCGGCGGCCCAACACAGATTCCAAGCAGTCCACGCGAAGAGGACGAGGGGGGGGGAGGAGGAGGACGCAGGAACCCAAGATTAGTTTGCAACAGCAAACTTCGGTTCGGGACCTTTGGTTATTATTTGTAACGCTGAATTATTTCTGTTTTTTAATGGCAGATGCGCGCGGCCCCTTCTGCGGTGATAAAACAGAACAGCTAGGATGCGACATTCGGGCTGGGCATGCAATGGGGGGGGATTTTTTTTATGAGCTCCAGAATTCGGATGCCCTGGGAAATCCATGCGGTTTCTTCGGATCTCGGCAGGGCCCCTGAGGGACATCCGTAGACGCCCTTGCAAGACCCGTAAATTGCATGAGACAGCCCATCGGGTTTTTCCAGGCAGCCAGCGAGGACCCCTAGAACATCCATGGGATTCTTTGGGACGCATATACGAATGTTTGGGACGGTCACCGGATTCCTTAGGACATCCATCGCGTTCCTTTTATACGTGCACGGGATGCTTCAGGGCATCCATCGGATTCCTTCCCCGCGGCGTCCACGGGATGATTCGGGACGTCCATGGGGCGGCTTAGGACATCAATTGGAATCCTTAGGGTGCCCATGGGGTTCTTCTGGAAATCAATATGGGCCTTCGGGACATCCACAGGATGCGTCTGGAAATCTATGGGAATGTCAACCAGATCCATAAGATTCCGCATGCAATCCGCAGGGCCCCTCTTGACATCCAGAAGTTTCATTCGGGAATTCAAATGTTTTTTTCAAGGCATCCACAGGATCCCTTAGGACATCCGAAGGAATTCATTAGGACATCTTTGGGATTAACCGGTACGATTTTTAGAAACTCAATAAGACTCCCCATGAAGTCCTTAGGCACCCATCGCGAAGTCATGGAATTCTTCAGGGCGTCTATGGGATTACGGAGAAGGACATAGGAATCCGTTTGTAATCCATGTGGCTCCTTAGAACATCCAGAGGGGTGCATTGAGCACCCATAGAGTTATTCAGGACAGGACGCCCTCAGGATTCCTAGGACATCTGTATGCACCCTTAGGATATACAATTGTTTCCTCAGCAAATCCGAGGGCCCCTTTTGGAAACCCGTAGAGTTCGTTAGGACAACCATCGGATTCCTCAGGCAAGCTACCAGGTTCTTTAGAACAGCCATACGATTCCGCAAGACATCGATAGGCATCCTCAGGACATCCATCGGATTCCTTAGGACAACCATCGGATTCCTTAGGCAATCTACCATATTCCACAGGACAGCCATGCGATTCCGTAGGACATCTATAGGTATCCTCAGGACACCCATTGGATTTCTTAGGCAAACCATCGGATTGGTTGTTGGGAATACATGGCTTCCTTCAGAAAATCCATCGGATTCCTTCAGATTCCTCTTCCTCCCCGTCTTTTTCTTCCCCCACCTCCTCCTCCTCCTCCTCCTCCTCCTCCTCCTCCTCCTCCTCCTCCTGTTCTACCCCCACTTCCACCTCGTCCTCTTCCTTCTCACCCCCCCCCCTTCCTCAGCCT